TAAAGGATTTTAAAATGTTAATTCTAAGATGAATGAAAAAAAAAGAGTTAATTTAACATATCATCAAAGGTTAATTTTACTGAAAAAAAATATTTCACGGTTTGTTTACAAACTATATAACCCTTTATATTTATTCTTTTATATAATATGTGTAATCTTTTAATATACTTATCTTATGTTAAATTATCCCAAAAATTTGAGTGAATCATTTGGAACATGCAATTTATATTAAATTCGACATTGTTTTGAACAGTACGAGGCACTAAGGCACTAAAAATTCGTATCAACAAAACCGGAGACAATGAAATCGCCAACTCTAGAAATTCCTAGAAATTAAGACAAAACATTATTATTTGGAAGATGCGATATATTTCCATCGCGGGAGGCATTCTCGAGAAGACGGGTGCATCGTGACTCGAATGATTTTCCTAGAAGGGGTTAAGTTGCAATATGCAGTTATCTTGCCCGGCGTGCATGCCGAAGCCATAATAACACATCCGTTTAACGTTAGCCACGGAGCTCGGGCTGAGATTGCAACCTGTATTTTCTTGTGAGTTTACCCCCCCTCCCCTCTTCTCTCTCCACGCGGCTATCTTCGTCGACCTTCTCCCGGACCATCTTGAGAATAGCGTCGTCTAGGCCAAGCTGTATTACATTGGATTGTTGCGAAACGATGTACGCGCGTTATATGAATAGCATACGTGCGGAAAGGGTGCTGTCCATCCATGTTCAACTGATCTCACCCTCTACCTTTACGATTATTATCATAAAGGTACAGCCATCTCATTTTCAAATTGTTTATGATATTTTATGGTAAATTGAATATGTCGATGTAAATGATATCATTCTTTTAGAAATAATATTTTTGCACAACTAAATATTACTCTATTCTATTTTATAAAAACGTGAAGAAAAAATGAGAAGAAAAAATTATGTTTAGCAAAAAGACTTTTCCGCGATATATATAAAGAATTTTACATCTAAAAAAGAACTCGAATGATAAACTGTGAACACGAATCTAGTTTTGATCCTGAGACAATTAACGAATCGACCGAAACTCGCCGAAAGTCCTCTGTTACGATGATGGATGAACCATTAACTGCTATGGTATTATACCGGTAACGCGAACCGCGTTTTGGCGTAAGACACGCCTGACAGCTGACAGAGTTCGTAGGGCGCCGAGGTGCATGATCGAAGGACGCCAGTACCTCCGCGTCTTCTGGAATATTTAAGCTCCACTGTCCCCGTCTGTAGATTTGACGTTCCTCGTCTGACATTTAGCCGCGCAGATAAAGCTACGTTTAAATAACGGTTAGAAAAGTAATTTATTGTGCATGTTTTTTTTTCATCGAAGTCATTCTTTGTTCTTGATTCATTTTCTTTCTCTCTCTTTCTCTCTCTCTCTATCTCTCTCTCTCTCTCCCTCTCTCTCTTTCTCTTTCTAAGTTTTTTAAATATTTCGATAGTTATAGCCTGGGACCCGTACGGAACCAGAATCAAAACGAAAAATCATTTCATAATCCTTTTCTTCGAAACCAAAATCGTAAAATGTTAAAAAAAATCTCATTTTTAGTTTCTTCTTTGCGGAACCTTAATTACTCACAAAAAATTGTTGTTTGAGGCATGAAATAATAAAAATAGTTTTAAGTATATCCCAGAAGTGCGGGAAAAGTAGATTTTTCTGTTATAAGTGTCTCATTTTGTAAGTCGAATTTTCATATATATGTTAGAACTTATCATAAATCGAATGTATTGTAAAAGTTTCTTATAATAATTAGTCTTTAAAGATTTTGAGGGTCGCTCATCATCATGATTCTATTAATAAAAATGGCAAATTTTGGATACAGGGAATTTAAAATGACATTTAGTTTTATACGTTTAGGGTTACAGTAATCAAATTTTTTATCAAAAATAAATCTGAGCATGCTCTTTAAGACAAGTTGACCACGAATTGTTAATTAAATAGAAACATCAATGATAACAAATTAAAAATGACCGATCCAAAATGTTCGTGCTCAATTAAAGTCACATGTTTAATATATTTTATACAATAAGATGAATACGCTGTTTTTCGATGTTTTCCATCGCACTTCTAAAGTAAGATTAAGAAAGAATTAAAATTTGAAAAATGGATAATAAATAGCAGGTAATTATTTGTTTCATCCGAAAATAAGAAAAGAATGGTTTACTTGACCACTCTCAACAACAAATCCAAAGACAACAGCAGAATCGTAGTAAGCATTTCGCCAACTCCGTGAGATTGACGGAAGATGACAATGTGGCAGTAATGTTAAAATGTGGTATGCTCTATTTAAATTCGATCGAATTTAAAATATCAAGTGAGTAAAGTGAAATTAAATTCTCATGTGAATTTGTTACGGTAAAAAATTGTTATGGTAGAAGAGATGGCGTAACATTTTTTGAATTGTACAGGAACTTTCATTCAATTTCCGGTTTTCTTTCTCCCTCCATTCATTGGACACTGAAGTTTTTTTTTGCACAATATGTGGCTCAAATGTTCGATTGTTTTTTTTTTTATCTTTAGTACCAATTATAATGAAAAACTTTTGTAATACATCATGATAAATTGTAATGTGGTACAAAAATTTGACTTATAAAAGAAGACACTTATAACATAAAAAAAAATCTATTTTCTTCATATTTTTGGGATATAAAACTATTTTTACTATTTCATGTAAGTTTCAAACTTTTTGGTGGTTAACTTTCGCAAGAGAGTTTAAAATCGGATTTTTTTAAGATCTTCCTTTTATAAATTTATATATATATATATAT